TGGCAGTTCTTGACAGTAAGTGAGAGCAAAAAGTTGTAAGGAATTGGGGACTGGGGCTGAAACAAAAATCCTATTGTTTACAGATGTGATTGTCTATTTAGAAAAACCAAAATAAACTGCAGGCGAATATTTAAAGAAAGGTAATAGCTAAAGTGTATTGAGCACCTTATAAGCACCAGGTAAAAGTACCTAGTAAGTAGCTCAGCAGAGGATAGCGACAGCTTTAGCCTCCAGCCTCCCTTGACCATGCTACGCTCCCGCAGAGGTGCAAGCACCAGTTGCCCATGACCTCCTTGGTGGTCCAAGTTCTATGGACTTGGTGTTCCAGCCAGAAGTCTAAGAAGCAGCTGTGCACCCCTGAGATGGGACTGCCACTTCCTCCAAGCTCTAACTTCTAGGATCTCCCCCAGAGACTCGTCTGTTTTGGATTCCAGCCCTAGGGATGGCAGCTGCTTCCTTCAGTCTGGTTTACCTCCTGGCTTTCCAACATCCAGGTGACCAATCTCCTGTATTAAACCTCCTCTGGTTGAAATATCTAGTATGCTTTATGCTATTCTGACTAGACCTTGGCTGATAACTAAGTTCTACCTCAATTCCAGTAAATGTCCCATTGATTCTAAAAAATTGGCACTTTTAGACCATTTATTTCTATATTTATTTCGACTATACTCTTTATGAGCTCTTATTCATATCACTACTTTTCTCTTTTCCTGCTCTTTTTTTAGAAGAAAATGCCAAAAGAAAAAAAAGTCAAATAATTGCACAAATAATGTTACAAAGATAGAAATGCTGCTGAAATGAAAATTTTGACTGGCAGGGAGTGATCATGTGATACTTTGAAATGCTTATCATCAACTGATGCATCAAAGATACACCTGGCATGCAAAGGGTGATGGAGACATATGTGAATGCTTAACCATTTAAAAAAGCTGAGAATTGCCTGTATTTGTTTTCCTACAAAAGAAATACAGAACTCTGTTGGCTGACTCCAACCTCTAGTGTGATTAGAATACTTTTTTTTAAAGATTTTTTTGATGTGGACCATTTTTAAAGTCTTTTTTGACCTTGTTGCAACATTGCTTCTGTTTTATATTTTGGTTTTTTGGCAGTGAGGCATGTGGGATCCCAGCTCCCTGACCAGGGATTGAACCCTCACCCCCTGCATTGGAAGGAAAGTCCCAACCACTGGTGCACCAGGGAAGTCCCTGGAATACTTCCATTGGCCTTCCTGGCCTTGCCATCCACCAGACTGGTTGCTTTCTATAAATGTAATTGAATAGGACCCTATCGGGCTTTCCAGATGGGCCCTTCCCCCATATCCTCTGCTCTAGCTCCTCTCTGAAGTACCCAGATAATGATATCTGAGGCATATTTCCAGAGTTTTTCAAATGCTAAAAACCACCACCAAATAGAAGAAATTAACTACTTGATGATTACAAGTACATAGCCCCCAGACCTACTGGCACCTAAGAACTGATAATGTTCGTTAACCACTCTGTTACCTAAACATCAACCAATCAGAGAATTGTGCATGAGCTGACCACATACCCTGGAAAGCCCCTCCTTACCTGGCCTTTATAAAAGCTTTGCTGAAACCCTTCAGGGTGTTCAGGGGGGTTGGGGGTATGAGCTACCCTTCTCCTTGCTTGCTGCTGCTGCTGCTAAGTCACTTCAATCATGTCTGACTCCGTGTGATCCCACAGACAGCAGCCCGCCAGGCTCCTCTGTCCCTGGGATTCTCCAGGCAAGAATACTGGAGTGGGTTGCCTTGCTTAGCCCTATAATAAACCTTTCTTCTCTCCAAACTCCGCATTTCAGTATTGTCTAGCCTCACTGTGCATCAGGCACAAGAACAATAAGGAGGCGAGTGATAAAATCAAAAGCTTCCAGCTATAGCCAGTTGATACACGTGGTAGAGAGAAATCTGAGATGACCACTAAAATTTCTGTCCTATGGTATATAATCCCCTCTCCTTGAATATGAGCTAAACTGTGAATATGATGGATGTCACTCCCTTGTTACATTATGTGGCAGAAGGGATTTTGCAGGTGCAATTAAGTTCCCTAATCATTTTACTTTGACTTACTCAAAAGGGAGATTATCCTGGGCAAGCATGACTTAATTGTTTGAGCCCTTAAAAAAGACGGCACCCTTCCTGAAGTCAGAGATTCAAAGTGTGACAGAGGATCTATGGAAGAGGGCCATATGGCATAGACCTGACAGTGGCCTCTGGAAGCTGAGAATGATCCCCAGATAACAGACAACAAGCAAGCAGGAACCTCAGTCCTATAACCACAAGGAAATGAATTCTGCCAACAACTTAAGGAAGCCTGGATGTGTATCTCTCCCCAGTCAAGCTTCCAGATAAGGACTCACTCAGCTGACACCTTGACTTCAGCTTTGTACGATGCGAACATGTGCTGGACTCCTGACCCACAAAAATGGGAGGTAATAAAATTCGTGTTGTGTTAAATCACTAAGATTCTCCAATTTGTTACATGGTAATATAACAATAATATAATCAGCGTGGAGGTATAGATTCCCTTTGTAACAGCAGCAAAATACATAACAGCCAGAATGAGGAATACATAAGACCTATATAAAGAAAAATTTTACCTATGCATAAATGAGGATTTGGAAAAACAGGGAGCTATATTATGTCTCTAAATGGGAAGATTAAACATTTTAAAGATGTCACTCTTAAAGGAGTTTTTATAACAGATAAGAAATACATTACTAGCTCAATAGAAAAAAACAAATATTTGAACAGAAAATATGTATACACTTGGAAATCTTTGGGAAGGATCACTCTGGAAATAGCACCTAGGACTCTGAACTAATCCATAACCCCCAACTGGAACTAAAACCTATTAAGTTAGAATGGGTCTAAGTTTTAAACCAAGAAGACTCAAATTTCAGAGGTAGTAGTGTAAATGACTTTGTAAAACCATGGAGTTATAGGATCTGGGAGATCAGATATGTGAGCGCCCTTTGTATGTTGTAAAGCACTTATACATTATTATATATAATCTTTGAAAAATAGACAATGATATCCAGTCTACTTGTCTTACAGTGTAACTTAATTAGCTATGTGAATGTGTAGATTAAAAAAGCATAAATGCTGGGGCTTCCCTGGTGGTCCAGCGGTTAGGACTTCACCTTCCAATGCAAGGGGTGTGGGTTTGGTCCCTAGTCAAGAAGCTAAGATCCACATGCCTCATGGCCAGAAAAACCAAAACATAAAATAGAAGCAATATTGTAAGAAGTTCAATAAAGACTTTAAAAATGATCCACATCCAAAAAAAAATCTTTTAAAAAATGCATGGATGTTAATACAGTATTAGCTAATTGCTGAAACCCCAATCTTGACCTCACAGAGAGGGGCCATCTAAAGTCACTGGGTGGTAGTAATGGTATCAAGAATGGAGCTTGAATAGAAGACAGATTCTCTGGTGTCGCCCACCTCTCCTCTCCAGCCCATGGACAGCTGCCACCACACTGGTTTGGCTGCATAAGGGCATCAGCTTCACACAGGGCTGGTTTCATGGGTAAACAACCCATGTGGTTGCATTGAGAAGGGTCCCATGCCTGGTGGATTGCTCTGTTACCACTATCTTGAAATTCTTAATAATTTTTTAACAAAGGATCCAGCATTTTTAGTTTGTACTGGGCCCCACATAGGCAGCCAGTCCTGGCTTTAGAACCCATTTGGATGTTTGCTTCTTCCGAAAAACAGGAATGGAACTTACCTGAGATTAGTCACTGGCCCAAGATGAACAATCCTAGAACTGCCCTGAACTGCTCCTCTGCTAGACTATTCCTTCTCACTGATATCCATCTATTGGGCCCACCATAACTTCCCAGAACCTGGCTGGGTCTGTAAAGAGAACCCTGCTGCTGAATCTGGCCTCAGTAGCATCACGATTCTGTTGGAAACTTCCACGCTGTTATTATTGGTATAGCAACACTTCTGTCCTGCCTGACTGCAGCCAGAGGTGAGGAAAGTTGCTCATACTTCAGCCTGACCCTAGCTGGTGGGTGACCAGGGTATCTGAGGATGTTTCTTCCAGAATGGACAAAGGAAGACAGAAGAGGTTAGAGAAAGATAATTATCAATGAGAAGTCAAGGGTGACTTCTACCACTGAATGTTGCTTAGCCTCCTGAACCTCAGTTTTCTCATCTGTGAATGGGGCAAGCAGTTGTTGTTGTTCTGTTGCCAAGTTGTGTCCAACTCTTCATGCCCTCAAGGACTGCAGCATGCCAGGCTTCTCTGTCCCTCACCATTTCCCTGAGCTTGCCCAAGTTCATGTCCATTGAATCAGTGATGCCATCCAACCACCTCATCCTCTGTTGCCTCTTCTTCTGCCTTCAGTCTTTGCCAGCATCAGGGTCTTTCAATTTCCACAGGATTGCCAAGAAGGCAGAGAGTGTGTGTGAAAGACTATTTGGTTCCTGGAGTTTTGCAAGTTTTACCACTCATTATGAAGCAGGGGTTCTTAATTTTTGAGTCATGGGTCCCTGGGATGATGTATTCAGAGGTAGTAGGATAAATGCTTTGAATCCGATGATACCTATGAGTCCTTCTCATCTCTCTTATCCTCCCCCCACCAAATGTCATCTCCTAAAAAAGAACTTGTCCACGTGCCAGGGTTTGATCCAGGTGTTCCTGGACCCAAAGTCTCTACAGTGTTCAGTTAAGCCGTGCCATCTATCTCCAGGCTGTCCTCAAAGCCTCCACCTGTGTGGTTCGCTGGTCTCTGCACCCCACCCGCCCACCTCCCCCCCGCTCCGCCGGCGACTGCTCCACGAGGTCCACACAGCCCCGCGAGGGTCCTGGCGGGCGGGGCGGCCGCAGGACGGGGCGGGCTCGGCTGTCGGCCCGCCCCACTTCGGGATCGGGGTGGGGGCTCCGACCTATTACTGGATGGAAACTCTGGTGTCCGGAGGGGCGGGAGGGAGAGGGGGGAGAGAGGGGAGAGAGGGAAGCGTGCGAGTGAAAGGCGCATTCATGCAACCAGCGGCGGTGGCCTCGGAGCGCGGCGGGGCCAGACTGTGATCACGTCGTCCGGGCTCCCGGGTCTCTCCTCTCCAGCTCCGTGCGTCCCGGGGCCGCCGCGCGCCATGCGCCCCCAGGGCCCCGCCGCCTTCCCGCGGCGGTTGCTTGGCCTCCTGCTGCTCCTGCTGCTGCAGCCGCGGGCGCCGTCGAGCGCCTCCGAGACGCCCAAAGGGAAGCAAAAGGCTCTGCTCCGGCAGAGGGAGGTGGTGGACCTGGTGAGTCGGGTGGAGGGGACAGAGCCGCGGAGCAGGGCCAGGAAAGGGGGTGGGGGTCTTGCCTGCCCCTGGGGGTCCCGCTTTGTCTGAGTCTGCGGGTAAGAAAGGACCTGGGCTCTGCGGATGGTGGAGTCCCGGAACTCGCGAGGGAGACTGGTCTGAGAGGGCCGTCGTGGACCACAGATGCGCCGTGGGTTGGGTAGGACGCCCGGAGTACAAGGAGTCGCCCAATAATTTCTGACCTCTGCGCCGCCCCCCCTCGTTCCCCGCCTCCAGAGACGGAGAGGGTTTGGGCTGCAATGAGGATAGAATAAGGAGCTTGGGAGGTTAGAGCGTAGGCCAAGGAGCTGTCTGCGAGACCCTGGATTCGCTAATCCCCTGGGTGGGCCTGGGCCAGGGACTTGCAACGTGTCCTTTGTTGGGGCTGGTGGCCACGTCCGCCAGCGGGATAGAATAACAACCCTCACCCAGTATCGGTCCAACTCTTTGTAACTTGATGACAGTGAGTCATGTTGGGTCATCTTCCTAGGGAGTATGTGCTGCAGTTTACTTTGTCACAGCTGGGCCAGGAATAGCTCAGAGGGTTTATGATCAGAAGACAAAATGAAGGGGCCCAGCACTAGCCCTCCAAGGACCCATTTCGTCGTATTTAGACAGATGGGCAGTCAGTCCTTCTAGACAAGCTGGGTCTTCAGCCTGTGCCACCAGGTAGAAGCATGAAAACTGAACTGAGGGATCAGACAGTTTCCAGGAGAGCAATGAATAGCCCAAGTTCTTTCTTTCCTTGGTGGCCCCCATGGCATGCAGTATCCTAGTTCCCTGACCAAGGATGAACTCATGTACCCTGCATTGGAAGTGGGGAGTCTTAACCACTGGACTGCCAGGGAAGTCACCCAAGTGATTTCTGAGGGACTAATCTATGGGCAGGTCTGTTTGCTTAAAGCTCTTAAAACCCTCTAAAATTCAGCAAACCCATTGGAGGGCAGAGTGGTATTCTGCCCTTGTAGCCAGAATGATCCTTTCAAATCTATCACATTCCTTGGCATATAATAAACTTCAGTCATTGAGCAAATATGGGTTATACAATCATTGCAGGACATAAACGGGGCACTTTTTAAATTTTAAAATAAAAACAAACTGTTTTGAATTTCTTAAGCTGCCATTGTAAACTGAGCTAATAAACCAAGTTCCCTGGCTGCTAGTTCTATGCCAGATTCAAAAGCTCAGGAAAAAGATTCCTGCCGTTCCACACTGCACTTTTTGGAGATGTACTATGTAATTTTCCTCCACAAAGCAGACTATGTGTTCAGGGCTATAGTTCTATTTTGAGTGTCTAAATTGTTTTAAACTGTACCAAATGAATGTGGTTCATGTGCAGTCTGCATTTTACGAGTCTGTAGTTATGATACACAAAATACCCTTTTTCCCTATAAAGCTAGCAATTTTTTTCCTTTCCCTCCAAGGATTTACAGAACCTGAGGTTTCCCACAACTCTAGCCCGACTTGGAAAAGTTTATTGTGCAGCCAGGCTCAGGTGCATCCTGTAGATTGGATTTGGTTTTGCTGGGGGAAAAGAATCCTCGCAGTCATTAAGGTTTCAACAGATTCTATAAAGCAGCTTCTTTGTACTGGGTTTTTCAAAGCCTTCCTTTCAAGCGTCCAGCAAGCTCTGCCCCCTGGTGGCCAGTGAAAGAAACAGGGGTTCATTCCGCAGACCTTAGGGGAAGCCCTGCATGGTACTGATCCTGTGCTGGGTTAGCATTTCAAAGTGAAAGAAGACAGATTAATACCTGTGGAACCGAATTCAGTAAAATTATGCGGTCTCTCAATGCAGTTTTTTAGATTAAAAAGGAGAATAAAAATTCTCAACCATAGCACAGTTGACATTTGGAGCCGGGAGGTTCTTTGTTGTGGGGACAGCGCTGTGCATCTGGCATGCTTAGCAACATCCCGACCTTCTTGGGCTTCCCTGAAAGCTCAGTTGGTAAAGAATCCACCTGCAATGCAGGAGACCCCGGTTCGATTCCTGGGTCAGGACGATCCCCCGGAGAAGGGATAGGCTACCCACTCCAGTATTCTTGGGCTTCCCTTGTGGCTCAGCTGGTAAAGAATCCTCCTGCGTTGCAGGAGACCTGGGTTCAATCCCTGGGTTGGGAAGATCCCCTGGAGAAGGGAAAGGCCACCCACTCCAGTATTCTGGCCTGGAGAATTCCATGGACTGTATAGTCCATGGGGTAGAAAAGAGTTGGACACAACTGAGCGACTTTCACTACCATCTACCAAGTGCCGATAGCAATCCCTCCTTCCCAAGTAGTGACAACCAAAAATGTCTTCAGACATTGCTGGGCAGCCTCTGTTATCCCGGTATCCAGTTTTGTCCCCCATTGAGAATTTATATATAGAAAAATAAAACTTTGTGTAACATCTTGCCCTCAGGGAAATAATAGTGAAAAAAAAATTTTTAAATACCAGAAACGTTATTATTTCTCCCTTCCCACTTGAAATCTGTGTCTGAATATTGCATATGTCTACTACTAAAAGTAACATATCTACTAAGTGAAAATTAAAGTATATCTACTAAATCAATCTACAAAATAAGATTAAAGTATATCTACAAAAAAATGGAAATTAAGCATAAAATAAACCAAACTATAATGTTGTGTACTTTGGCATGTCTTCAGATACTTTCGCAATTTTGTTAAATACATTTCTTATTTCTCTGGCAGCAAATGCCTAGAAGTGTCTCTTTTCTTTCTTTTGCTTGAAGTCAGGAAAATATCAGTGGTGGAAGTCACAAAAATCATTTAGCAAAATAGAACTCAAATTGTTGATGTGAGGAGATTGATCGGCAAACATTAGATAATAAGGACCTTTTCTAGGTAGTGTCATTACTGACTTTTTAAAAACATGTTTATTTATTTGGCTGTACTGGGTCTTAGTTGCCATATATGGGATCTTCCATCTTTGTTTTGGCATACGAGGTCTTTCGTTTCGGCATATGGGATCTAGTTCTCTGACCAGGGATCAAACCTGGGCCCCCTGCATTGGAAGCTCAGAGTCTTAGCTACTGGACCACCAGGGAAGTGCCTGAATTTTATAATATGATCATATCCAATCCTGGATGCTAAAATTCAAAATTAAGATTTGAAGTTATTTTAATATGTAATTTGATTTTTTTGTTGTTGTTCTCACTGGACAGTAGATTTATACAGAATGGTAGTATCCGATCATTTATACAAATAGGGATTTTAAAGTAACATTTTAAATAAATTGGGTTTGGGGCTTGAAGGGTCTAATAAATGGACCAGTTCAGGGATAGGCATGGGAATTAGGCTGATGGAGATGCAGTTTTACCACCGATGCAACTGTTTTGCTGTGTGTGGCTCGTGGCTTATGTGTGTTAGCTGGCGAGTTTGCTGATGCTGTCTTCCCCAGGTCTGGTGCCCTGGGCAACTGCCTCACACAGTCTTAGGGGAATAATAAGAATAATCATGGCTGAAAAATATAGTATTTACTGCGTGCCAGGTACCGCTCTAGCACATTTTATGTATCATCTCACTTGAATCTCCTATGCGGTAAGAATCTTTATTATTTCCCCCCGCGTTTTAGATTAGGAAACAGGCGCTGAAGTGTTCAATGACTTGTCCTATCTCACATAGCTTGTAAGTGGTGGAGCCAAGATTAAAATCCAGAGACTATGACTAGAATCCTTCGCTCAACCTCTACATCATATTACTGCACCACTCCCCAAGAGAAAGAGAGAGAATCATAGCATTTAAGAGTTTGATAGGGGCTTCCCTGGTGCCTCAGTGGTAAAGAATCTGCCTGCCAAGGCAAGAGACACAGGTTTGATCCCTGATCGGAGAAGATCCCACCTGCCGCGGAGCAACTAAACCTGTGCACAACTGTTGAGTCTGTGCTCCGGAGGCTGGAAACCACAGCGACTGAACCTATGAGCCACACGTAGCGAAGCCTGTGCGCCTAGAGCCGCTGCTCTGCACAAGAGAAGCCACTGCAGTGAGACCCCTGTGCACCTTAACCAGAGAGCAGTCCCCACTCGCTGCAGCTAGAGAAAAGCTTGCACAGCAATGAAGACCCAACACAACCATTAATAAATAAATCAAGCTACCAAAAAATTTTTTGATCGATTACTGTTCCCCTCTTAAAGACTAATGGACGCTTGCAATGAAGTCACTTACTCCTACTCCTTGGCAGGGTGGGCTAGGTGGATTTGGAGGCCAGAAGTGTTCCCCTAGTGACACTTCCTCCACATGAAAATAAAAGGAGAAGGTCTGCTTATCCAGCTTAGAGACATTGCCAGTGTGAAATTAAGTATTGAGTTAAGATTTTCTTTTATAATTATATCTCTAAGAATTTATCTTAGGGAAATAATTCAAAAAAAAAAGAATAAAGCTATGTAGATAAATATTTTCATTATGATAGAATAGAAATAACTTAGCAATCCCAAACTAGTGCAATGTTTGCATAAAACTGTAGTTCTGAAATCCAAGTCCCTTTACAATATATAGGGTTAGAAGAATAAACATTATATCAGATTATGTTCACTTTGGAATACAGCCATTTAAAAATTTTGTATACTTTTAATGAGCAGTTGGAGAAGGAAATGGTAACCTCATCCAGTATTCTTGCCTGGGAAATCCCATGGCCTGGTGGGGTACAGTCCATGGGGTCACAAAACAGTTGGCCACGACTTAGCGACTAAAACATCAATTGACAATGAGCAGTAGGAAAAAGCAGACAAATGAAAATATTTTCTCTTCTTTGTTGTTTGTGTGTGTGTGTATGTGTGTAAAGTCTGTGCAAAAAAAAAAAGAAGAATAGGAAAGAAATTCCAGTATTTTAGGAATAACTTTAAAAATCAGTTCTTTATGTATATGGAATTTCCCTGGTGGTCCTGTGGTTAAGACTCTGAGCTTCCAATGCTACAGGTGCAGGTTTGATCCCTGGTCAGGGAACTAAAACCCCATATGTACATATATATGTATATATATATATACACTATTGACTTATCTGGAACACTGGCAACTGGTTCCCGTCGAAGGGATTCTTGACTCCTAGGGCTCAAAATAAATGCAGTTCTAATCAGACTGAGCCTTTGAATCTGAGGTGGTGAGAGATGTTCCCCCTTTCTTTTTTCTGCTGCAGTACAATGGCATGTGCTTACAAGGGCCGGCGGGGGTGCCTGGGCGAGACGGGAGCCCCGGGGCCAATGGCATCCCTGGTACCCCCGGGATCCCAGGTCGAGATGGATTCAAAGGAGAGAAGGGGGAATGCCTGCGGGAAGTCTTCGAGGAGTCCTGGACGCCTAACTACAAGCAGTGTTCATGGAGTTCACTGAATTATGGCATAGATCTTGGAAAAATTGCTGTAAGTCTAGTCTGAATTATTGTAAGGTTGAAATAAAACGTAAAGGTTTTCATAGTTGAGTGATCATTTTAGGTGAGATTTTATTTTTCCTAAAAGACAAAAAATATTAAGGGATGGGTACCATGTGACTTTCAACTTAGAATTAATGAAAAAATTGATAACTTCAGAATTAATTGTATAAAGGTATTTCTGAGACAAATACGTCACTGAATTATTTCAACCCTAAGAACACTTAAAATAACTTATTCTTTTTTTTTTTCAATGGAAACTGTCTGGGTTGGACAGTAAGTAACTTTCCACTCTTGTCCTAAAGTGAATTTAAATTAATTCAAGAAATTCTGCTGTGGTTCCAGACATAAAGGTGGAAAGAAATCTCCAAGAAATTACTGCATTATTGGAATTATCTCGAGGTGGGAAGTCTAGTGGTATTTTTCCTTATTCTGGGTAGCAGACCCAGCTTAAAATTATTTGGCTTATGGGAGTAGAATGTGCTAGAGATATACTACAGTGATCATTTAAAATTATTTAGCAATCTTTAGGGAGAAAAATTACTCAAAATAGCCTGTCTTGCCATGCATTTGAATTAATGATTCAATCACTTTGTTTAGTGTTTGCTTCCAAAGTAACTGGCAAGTCCCTTGGATGGTATAGAGTTGAAGCTGGTGCCATTTCAAGCCTCTTTATTCTTTTGTTGACCAACTCTACATGTGGTTTCATATCCACAATGTATTATTCCTTGATATTAACCACTACTACCACCAGGCAAATAGAAGAAATTTTATTTTCCAAAAACTCTCAGGTTCTAAGTAGCAACCTGTATATTATCCCTGCTCCTCATCTTAGCTCTTTAATGTCTGCTCTGTTATTTATAAAAATGTTTGAGATGGTCTCGATTTGATTTCTGTGTGATAGAATATCCATTTAGCTTTCATAGTTTGGTGACTATGACCAGTTATACTTTCATATATGATTTCTTAGAAAGCATTTTGTTAAAGTGTTGCCTACTTCCTTGAACACTTGACATTATAGACTGGTTGCTTTTTTATAGTTCATCAAAATTTGCTGGTGGAGTTCTCTTTAAAAACTTTCCCTATGGATTCTGAATTATTAATATGTTTCCAGTTTCCTTTTGGTGGTCAGAATGGGCTTGGGAGCCTTTTGCAAGTAAAAGATAGTAGCACCATGAGTCAGTAGACAAATTTTGCAAGGACAGTTAGAGGAAAAAGCCCTCGGTCTTATCATTGTATCATAGAGTTAAAGACTAAAAACCCCACCTGCACTTTACTCCTGATACTGTTTTCTGGGGCTTGAAATGAAACAGGTCAGAGTAATATATATGGGCAGTGCTAGTCTAGAATGTAAGTTCCATGATGGCAGGGATTCTATTTTGTTTACTGCTGTTATCTGTAGCATCCAAAATATAGGAAATAATTTTGGAAGAAAAAGAAAAGTAAATATATAGATTGGTTTAGTCTAAAATTCTGAAAACTGGCTGTTTTTGTAAAACTGAGAGATACCCTCAATGGAGTGAATAATTCTAAGAAAGCCATAATTCAGTTTTCTTAGAGTTTCTAATATCAGTGTCTCTTACCATCTTGCAGAAAACTGGTTTGCCTCTGTAAAAGCTAAGCTCTTTAAATGTACTTTGGGGAAAAGAATAGTTGAATAAAATTCACAATATAGTTTGAAAGCATCTTTTTAATTAAAAATGAAAATGCTAATTAAACCCTATTTCTGTGTTTGTGATAGGAATGTACATTCACAAAGATGCGTTCGAACAGTGCCCTAAGAGTTTTGTTCAGCGGCTCACTTCGGTTAAAATGCAGAAGTGCATGCTGTCAGCGTTGGTATTTCACATTCAATGGAGCTGAGTGTTCAGGACCTCTTCCTATTGAAGCCATAATTTATTTGGACCAAGGAAGCCCTGAATTGAATTCAACAATTAATATTCATCGCACTTCTTCTGGTATGTAGAATAGTGACGTTGCAGAATGCGCCTCAGATCTTTAGTGAGCAAAGATTAGTATTGAATCCACCATGACGGTAGGTCATCACAGGCTTTCTGTGTATAGTTCTCCACCTGGGTTGCACTTCAGAATTTCCTGTAGATCTTTTCAAAAAATACGTGGATGCCTGAATCCCATCTCTGATCAACTGAATCAGAATCTCATGGTTAGAACCCAGACGCTGTATTTTTTCTAAAAAGATCACAAGGTTGAAAATCACTGAGTTAGATGAAATGGCAAAATAGCCAGTAATGCCATGGAGCAGTGGTTTTCAACCTTGTCCCCACCTTGTGTTCAGCTGGGGAACTTTGAAAAATCGCTGTGCCTGGGTACCACTCTTCTATGGAGTCTGACTTAATAGGTCTGGTTGCATCCCACGTGGCGGAACTTCCCAAGTCTCTCCTGGTTATCCTAATGTCCTCCACGGTTGAGAACCACTAACATAGACTGATTAGGAGGCTGATTTCTCTGCCTGTTCTTTAAAATAGTAGGTACAGTCTGCTGCATCTGCGAGAGAGCATTTCTATATTGTTTCTGTATTCTCTGCTTGCTTCTACTGGTATGAGAGAAGGGACATTTGATTAAACCAGTGGTTACTTGGGCTGTTAAAAAAAAAACAAACAAAACCTGAGACTTCCCTGGTGGTCCAGTGGTTAAAATGCCATGCTTCCTCTGCAGAGGGCACAGGTTCCATCCTTGGTTAGGAAGATCCCGTATGCCTCTCCACACAACCAAAAAAAACCAAACAGATAAACAAAAAAATGTAAAACTGTTGGGGTTTTTATGTTTTTTTGGGGGGGGAGAGTTGATTTGTTTCATTGTATTTTAAGGTTCATTGAAAGAGTTTAGAAGCTACGAAAAAGTAGAAGTGGAAAAACTGTTAGGTTGGTGCAAATGTAATTGCAGTTTTGGACTATGAATTTTAAATCATTATTAACTAGGCTCAAACACATCTTTATTAATCAAAATAGGGATCATTATAATCAACACATTTTTGCCAATGAGAAATAAGTTTGTTTATTCCTGTAGTGTAAGAATTCATGCTTTGGGATTTGGTGAACTCTTGGAAAGCATTTTCTGCCTCTTGCTGGTTGTGGAAGTGTTTACTCTGCAAAAAATTCTAGATGCCTGAAGAAGTGGTAGTAGGTGGCAAGAGGTCAGGTAAATATGGCAGATGAGCCAAAACTTTGTAGCCCAATTCATTCAGCTTTTAAAGTGGTGGTTGTGCAATGTGCAATCAGGCATTGCCGTGGAGAAGAATTCCACTCTGCTGACCAGTGCCAGCTGCAGGCATTGTAGTTTTCTGTGCATCTCATCAATTCTCAGGCTTGCCAGATGGCTCAAATGGTAAAGAATCTGCCTGCAGTGCAGGAGACCCGGATTCGCTCCCTGGGTTGGGAAGATTCCCTGGAGAAGGGCATGGCAACCCACTCCAGTATTCTTGCCTGGAGAATCCCATGGACAGAGGGGCCAGGTGGGCTACAGTCCATGGGGTCGCAAAGAGTCAGACACGACTGAGTGACTGACACTTTCACTTTCATCAAGCATACTTCTCGGATGTAATAGTTTCCCCAGGATTCAGAAAGCTATAGTGGGTCAGACCAGCAGCAAACTACCAAACAGTGACCATGCCCTTTTCTGTGGTGCAAGTTTGGCTTTGTGAAGTGCTTTGGAACTTTTTCTCGGTCCAACCACTGAGCTGGCCATTGCCAGTTGTCATATACAATTCACTTTTCATCCCACATCACATTCTGATTGAGAAATTCTTCGTTGTTGTTGCATAGAATAAGAGAAGATGACACTTCAAAAATGACAATTTAAAAAATTTTTGGTTAGCTCGTGAGGCACCCACTTATCAACCTTTTTCACATTTCCAATTTGCTTCAAATGCCAAATGACTGTACAGTGGTCGACATTGAGTTCTTTGGCAACTTCTTGGGAAGCTGTAAGAGGATCATCAAAGCTGGTCATTGTCAACTTCCAATGGCTGGCCACTACATTCCTCATCTTCAAGGCTCTCATCTCCTTTGCAAAACTTCTTGAACCACCTCTGCACTGTACGATCATTAGCAGTTCCTGGGCCAAATGCATTGTTGGTATTGCAAGTTGTCTCTGCTGCTTTATGACCCATTTTGAACTTGAATAAGAAAATCACTCGAACTTGATTTTTGTCTAACATCATTTCCATAATCTAAAATACGTATAAAATACACTACAAGTAATAAGTGATTACTCAACATTCAGAAAATTAAGATCATGGCATCCAGTCCCATCACCTCATAGCAAATAGATGAGGAAACAAAGGAAACAGTGAGAGGCTCTATTTTCTTGGGCTCCAAAATCACTGCAGATGGTGACTGCAGCCATGAAATTAAAAGATACTTGCTCCTTGGAAGAAAAACTATGACCAACTAAGATAGCATATTAAAAAGCAGAGACATTATTTTGCCAACAGTCAAAGCTATGGTTTTTCCAGTAGTCATGTATGGATCTGAGAGTTAGACTACAAAGAAAGCTGTGTGCTGAAGAATTGATGCTTTTGAACTGTGCTGTTGGAGAAAACTCTTGAGAGTCCCTTGGACTGCAAGGAGATCCAACCAGTCAATCCTAAAGGAAATCAGTCCTGAATATTCACTGCAAAGACTGATGCTGAAGCTGAAACTCCAGTACTTTGGCCACCTGATGCAAAGTGACTCATTGGAAAAGACCTTGATGCTGGGAAAGATTGAAGGCAGGAGGAGAAGGGGACGACAGAGGATGAGATGGTTGGATGGCATCACCAACTCAATGGACATGAATTTGAGCAAGCTCCGGGAGTTGGTGATGGATAGGAAAGCCTGGCATGCTGCAGTCCATGGGGTCACAGAGAGTCGGACACGATTGAGTGACTGAACTGAACTGAATGTCATTACCAAAAAAGCATAAAGTGAGAAATGCACATTAAAATTATGTCTAACATAACCACATTTATTTAAGAAAGTATTCCAATATCTAATGGCAAAGTTTAACAATGAAAAACCACAACTACTTTTGCATCAACCTAATATTAATGTCATCACCCAGATACACCACTATCAGTATTTGACTGCCAGCTCTTTTGCTTTCTTGAGTTGTTTTGTGTGTGTGTGTGTGTGTGTGTGGCAAGTGAGGTGTGGGGGTGACCTACCTTAACAGCATGTACCAGAAGAATCACAAGGTGTATGTATCACTAGCTTCATTTCCCAGATTTCTTGAAAAAATTTCTCTCTGATCTTATACTTTAGAATGGAGAGGGAAGAGAAGCCTTACTGCTAATCAGAAGAAATATTTCGGCATTCTTAGGGACCCAAGCCAGATACTGATCCTCAAATTAATATAGCACATTTATTGCTAAGGAATCAAGGGCATTCCTTCCATTTTCTTCTTCAAATCCACACAGTATCCTCAAGACATAAAGAAGATATTTTAACCTCTTCTCTCTGCACATACAGAAGGCCCAGGGAAAGAAAGTAACCTGAACAGAAGAATCAGTGTCCTGGTGAACAGATACCAAGCACAGAAGCTCTCGTCTCTCAAGACAGGTTTGATCAGAATGAAAAGCCTCTTCACTAAGTTCTGTGCTGTAAAGGAAGACGTGTTTTTCGTCTGAGAAGCAGTCACTAAAATTTTAAATATTTTAGTATAAAATCTAAAATTTGATTAGGAAGTGGTAAGTAGTCGAGTGCATCTAGAGATTATCGGACTAAGTGAACTAAGTCAGAAAAAGACAAATACCGTAAGATATCTCTAATACGTGAACTCTTAAAACATGGCACAAATGAATCTATCTACAAAACAGAAACAGAGTCACCAACATAGAGAGCTGACTTTTGGTTGACAAGGGGGAGGAAAGGACTGGGAGTGTGGGATTAGCAGATGTAAACTATTACATATAGGATGGATAAACAACAAGTCCTACTGTAGAGCACAGGAAACTATATTCAGTATCTTATGATAAACCATAATGGAAAAGAATATGAAAAAAAGAATGTGTGTAACTGAGTCACTTTGCGGTACTGCAGAGACTGGCACAGCATTGTAATTGAACTATACTTAAATTTTAAAGGTTAAATTATAAAGTTCAAAAGATATGTTGTAAAGCAACTATGCTCCAATAAAAGTTAATAAAAAATGAAATCCATAAAAATAAATAAAAATAAAATAGTAGTTTATGTAAGCAACTTACTATTGTATTATCTTTAAAGTTTTTATGTTAATATCTTGCTATAATGTAAGCCCTCAGGCCTAGGAACTGTCACTTATACATACACACACTTCGTAAATTATTTAACATAGCATTTACCAACCACGTTATAGAAACTCATTTGGTATGATCAGTTGGGTAAAATGTCAAGTACTTTGTTATTCATGACAAATTTTGTCTTAAAATGAATTAAAGGTTGCCTCAATAGTGAATTCACTTTCCTTGCACACTGATATTCTCTTGAGAGAAAGAAAAGGAATACCCTTATATTTTGCACATCAGAGGATGACATCAAGCCTTAAATATGCCCATCAGAGTTTAGAATATCATCTTACCTGGATCTAGAAGGAAAACAGGTTGAGGACCTTTAATTCAACATCTTTTAGGTGCTTAATAAGCTATTACTACTTTATTACAGCAAAAAATGTTCATTCATTCAAAAAACATTATTTTATTTGTTAAAGAGCATGAAGTGACCATTGACTCTCCTTGTGTGAGGATGATGCCAGACCCAACCTTGTCTGACCTGTGGAGGGAAGTGAACACATTTCTAGGCTATGGGTATTGCGGGCACGCACAGCTTAGTTCTTCTAACTTGGAAAGGGTCTTGAACCAGAGACAGGTACCTGGATTCAGTAGGACTTGCCTTCATTCACTGATGTCACAGCTGGTAGAAGCAGATTGTTACAGGCCTACATCCCTGGGCTCAGCTTGAGCATACTAACCTCAACCAAATAGGAAGACGATCCAGTCATGCGATCATCCCCACCCTACTTATGTGTCAGGACCCGTTTTCTTAAAGAATCTGCCAACCTGTGGTTCCTTTTTCCCCTGACACAGACATCAGAGGGGTTTAACTTTTGCCTATGAAAATGAACAGTAGGGGGATTATTTTTTTAATATTGGAGAAGAGGCTTGATAAGATGGAATGCCGGTTATATATATATTAGTATGTGAAAGTCTGGAGGACCTATGAAAAGGCACGTTTATGAAGCAAAAAACAAAACATAGGAAAAACAGGATTTAGTTAGCTTGTTTTTTCACTGTGCAGGAATTTCTATGTAAACGGGATTCCAGGTTGAAGGACTAGTGTAATGATTATGCTAGGGTTTCTTTTGACATTATAGAAGTCTTTTCTTCTACTTAGTACCATCAAGTATACATAGGAAAGGGCTCTCTATTTTTTTAACTCTTAAAATGAGACATTATTTTAATTACTTAAAATTTGATCTTCTATAAGGTGTTTTCAGCTTGGTCTGCTGATAGAAAATTAAAATATGGAGGCTTCAGGTGTAACAACTTGTCCCAAATGTTTATGTAAATTACTGATTCAGCTTATAATCAGAATTGCATTTTCATCTTCCAGTGCTCTTTTCTTCAGATGGAAAGGTCTTTCTTTAAAAAAAAAGCTTACATATTGCATCAACATCTTTTTTTTTTTTAAGAAAATACAACTTTATTTAATTTTTTATATTTATTTATTTTTTTGGCTGAATTGAGTCTTAGTTGTGGCACACAGGATCTTCCTTTGCGTCATGTGAGATCTTTCGTCGAGGTGCACAGACTCTCTAGTCACGGCATGGGCTCCAGAGTGTGCAGGCTTCAGTAGTTACGCTGCAGCAGTTTACTTACCCTGGGGCATGTGGGATCTTAGTTCCTTGATGAAGGATTGAATCCACGTCCCCTGCATTGCAAGATGGATTCTTAACCATTGGACCACCAGGGAAGTTCCCTGCATCAACATCTTGGTTTTAAAAGTGTAGTCTTGATGCAGTGGTTCAGACTTGGTACTTTCACTCTTAGTGGCTAGGGCTCAGCCTCTGTTCGGAGAACTAAGATCCCGTAAGCCACGTGGTGTGGCCAAAGGAAAAAAAATAAATGTAGGCTTCCTTTATTTAGTCATAAATAAATAGCTTTTTTTGTTTTAGGTCATCTCCGTAAGTAAACAAATTCTACCTTTATGGCTGAAACCTCAAAGAAAATTTCCTGTGAGCTTATACCATAGAATGGATATGTATATGTCTTTTTGTTTAATTTTTAAAAATTCACTTATTATTTTGGCTGTGCTGGACTTTTGTTGCTGTGCAGGCTTTTCTCTAGTAATGGTGCATAGGCTTCTCATTGTGGAAGCTTCCCTTGTTGTAGAGCACAGGCTCTTGGGACATGGGCCTCAGTTGCAGCACACAGGCTTACTAGCTGTGGCTTCTGAGCTTAGGTGCTCTGTGACACGTGGGATCTTCCCAGACCAGGTGTCAAACCTGTGTCTCCTGCATTGGCAGGCAGATTCTTCACCACTGAGCTCTCAGGAAAGCCCTGGATATATATACATCTTTTAAAAATACTTACATACTAGGAAAATGAGAACTTATCTTTATGAGACCCTTATTAAATACTAGCATTTTAAATTTACTGCACATTAGCTTGATTTAATCACTAGTATGCTAAAGTAATAAAATTGAGCTGAAAGTTTTTGCCTTTTTATTCTGAAGAGATTTGTAACTCTCATCTTTGTTTTGCAGTGGAAGGCCTCTGTGAAGGCATTGGTGCTGGACTAGTGGACATTGCTATCTGGGTTGGTACTTGCTCAGATTACCCGAAAGGAGATGCCTCTACAGGGTGGAATTCGGTGTCTCGCATCATTATTGAAGAGCTCCCAAAGTAAATCCTTTCATTTTCATTCCCTACCTCTTTTTTATTATACCTTTGAATGGTTCACTTTAGTGTGACACCTTAGATAATTTTTATGTGTACTTTGCTGTTGTTCAGTGGCTAAGTCATGTCCAACTCTTTGCCACCCATGGACTGCAGCACTCCAGACTTCCCTGTCCTTTATTATCTCCCGGAGTTTGCTCAGCGTCATGTCCATTGAGTCGGTGATGCTCTCTAACCATCTCATCCTCTGCCTGTACTTTTCCTTTTGCCTGTACTTCTGAGTGAAAGAACATGACTAAATGTGTTTACAGACCAAAGTGTGATTTCACACTGTTTTTAGATCCAGTATTATTTGTTTTCCTTCAATCAAAATTATAGTTTTGAGATTTTGTAGTTAATTAAAACACTTTCTTCATTTTCCCATTCCCTATACCTGTAATTTGAAATGTTATTATGGTCTTCATTTCTTTCCTGTTCTCTTAGTATAGCACTTTTTAAAATATAAAAGCTACCAGTCTTTGTACAAGTTGTAAATGTTCAGAATTGTTTTATATCTGTGAAATAAAACTTATTTCAAACAACCTTTAATGTGATTGCTACTAAAAGGAAGGTTTCTGGTATTTTATATCTGGAAAGTTGAGGATAAACCTGACTTTGTATTTATCCATCTAACAATCTTATTTTAAATTTAGTACATGTATAGTACTGTTCCATATTTTAAGAGATTCAAAGAGAAAGGAGCATTTATGTGCCAGGAAATATATTAATACTAGCACCTTAGAAATCTTTATATAACAAAGAGTAAAGAGATGTGGACTCCAGCCTCACGTTGCTTACCATTTGGTAGGGAGGAGAAGATATACACAAAAATAGCATATATCAAAGATTACTCTGTTGATTGCAAGGAATGTTGTTGAAGGGGTGGTGTAATTCAAAGAAAGACCTATCACTTCTAGCCAAGGTGATCAGAAAGAGTTCATGATGAAAGAAATATAGGTGTAATACTGATAAAGTTAAGTAAATCGTGGGCTTGAGTTGGAAGTGTCAGTATAAAGGAATTAATAAATTACTTTATCTTAAATAAAGCTGTAAAACTAACAGAATCTCCTAACCTTGAATACTTAAAAAACCTAGGAAACAATGACCAAACTAGTAATACTCTGATTGTGACCTCTATATGCCATTTCATACTAAAAGGATCTAAGGTTCCTTATAGGAATGGGTGATTTCAGCTCTGGAGCAGGAAATGTACAATATGAGCCTAGAACATCTTGGCAACTATGAATGACAACAGGATCCAAGAGCCAACATGAATTGGTTCCCACTGGCAGAGAGGATACAATTTAAGCATCAATGAAGACAATAACTGGAATGATTTGAAACACATCAGATATTATGTTTAAATGCATGAGTTCATAATAATATTAAAATTCATTTGTCAACTTAGTGGATCCCAGGAATTCGATTTGTTACTTTGACATTTAGGGCAGGGAAGTGGAAAGCAAAGCATTTGTTCTGCTTTCTCAACATGAACTGTATTTCTGGCTATCCAAATTGTTGATGAAGGGAAAACGTCTGTGTGTGTGTGTGTGTGTGTAGTAATATATTGGTATACATAAACATAACAAATGAAGAAAGTGATAGCATATCACTCTTTTCAACCCTGCATGATTAAAGGGCTCTGGCAATAACCATCAATGACAGTAACATTCCAAAATAAGAGAAAGACTATGTGCCCCCTAAGGAATGCACATAGCACCACCAAAGAAGTTGTTTTACAAAGAAAAAAAATCAAGCCTGGACCTGATTTAGCCTCCAGATATAACTGTTAAATTTTAGGAAATACAGGGGATAGAAGAATATGTTAATCGACATGTCAGCCAATCAGGCCTATGGAAAACTTGAAAGACAACTGGGTTTCTTCAACAAATATATTGCAACAAAAGAGAAAAAGAAAAACATGAATTGGAAGAGATTTGAGAGATACTGACTCCTTTCAATGTTTGGACTTTATTTGGCTACTTGGGATAATAATTTTGTGGTGTAAAATAGTATTGTGATTATTTAAAAATAGTGTTTATCATTTAGAGATACTGAAATATTCAAGATAAAGTGACATGATGTCTGGAATTTGCTTCAGAATGACCTTGAAAGGAAGAGTGGGTGACAGGAGGTCTAGATGAAATAACGCTGAAGATAGATAGAAGTTGACCAAGGTGGGTAAAAATTGTGACAAATGGAGACTGGGATTAAGGACATTTTGAGTGGAGACCAGAACATTAGTTAAGATCTCTTTGAATTGGCACAGATTGTGAAGACATTTGTGTCCCATGTGAATGCCCACCAAAGGACACCCACTGCAGAGGAGGCTCTTAACGACAAGGTGGACAAAATAACTTGCTGTGGATGTGAGTCAGCTTCTTTCCCCAGCACTCCAGTGCTAGTTCAATAGACCCATAATCAGAGAGGCTGTGGTGGCAAGGATGGAGGCGATGTATGGATTCGACAGCATGGAATTTCCCATATTAAGGCTGGCCTGGCTAGTGTGAGCGCTGGGTGCCTAACGGGGCAACTAATGGGGCAACAGCAGAGTCCAACATGTGCCCCTAAAATGGCATCATTCCCAGGGCCCAGTCACGTAAGGGCAGGCAGATTCCACTGGACTTCCATCATGGAGGGGCAGAGAGTCATTCTCATGGAAATATATATTCTGGATACAGATTGACCTTTCCTGCTAGTACTGCCATCCGTGGACTCAAGAATGCCTTATCTACCATCTTACCTTCTGCACAGCATTGTTTATGATCGAGAAACTTCACACCACAACAAAGAAGTGCAGTGATGGGGCTTGCCCCATGGAATTGACTGGTCTTACCACATCCCCCCACCTGGAAGTGACCGGCCTAAACAAAAGGAGAATGGCTTACTGAGGTCTCATTACAGTACCAGTTGGGAGACAGCATCCTGCAAGAATGGGGTTCTGTCTTACAGGTGCAGTGTATTCTTTGGATCAGAAAGGTGTTCTTGCTTCTGCAGCCAGCATACAAGCAGCAGTAGTGGGAGTGGCTTCTCTCACTGTTACATCTAATAACCCATTTGCAGGCTCTTTGCTTCCTGTCCTGACAACTTTGAGCTCTGCAGGTCTGGAGATCTTAGTATCCAATAAGCAAAAGCTTCCACCAGGGGACACAACAATGGTTCTGCTGAATTAGAAGATGAGAAAGTGTTAGTCACTCAGTTGTGTCCGACTGTCTTAAGATTCCATGAACTGTAGCCCACCAGGTTCCTCTGTCCATTGAACTCTCCAGGCAAGAATATTGGAGGGGGTGCCATTCCCTTCTCCAGGGGATCTTCTGGACCCAGGTATCAAACCCAGGTCTCCTGCATTGCAGACAGATTCTTTACCCTCTGAGCCACCAGGGAAGATAAGACTGTGTATTTTAAATAACAGAAAGGTGTTTATCCCATGGCTTCTGTTGATCAAGGATCTTGGTACAGGTTAGCTGAGTCCTCTGCTCAGGGCATCACCAGGCTGAAATCAAATTGTTGCCTGAGGCTGCAGTCTCATCTGGGGCTCGGGGTCCTCTTCACAGCTCACGTGGTTGTTAGCAGAATTCAGGGCCTTGCAGCTCAGGGATTAATGTCCCCGTGCTCTTGTTGCTGCCTGAGGACAGCTCCCAGCATCTGAGGTCACTCTCAGGGCCTTGCCAAGTGCTGCATTTTTAGGATTGTTGTGTTTGCATTTGTCTCCAGGTATTTTCTTATTTCCTCTTTGATGTCTTCAATGACCTCTTGGTTATTCAGTAGCATATTGCATGGCTTCCAGGTGTTTGTGTTTGGGGTTGTTTTTTTCCTTGTAGTTGATTTCCAGTCTCACAGCCTCGGGATCAGAAAAGATGCTTGCTATGATGTATGGTCAGGCCACTCAAGATGGCCGTTCTCTTGCTCTCTGTACATTCTCTGCTCAACCGATCCCTGCTTTACTTGCATGACTCTCCAATCCTCTTAATTATAGGGCTTAATTAGTAACTGCCCATGTGCTTGCTCTCTGCCTCAGCTGCTGGTTTCCTTGGTAATTAATGAGCCAATCTGACGTCATTTCCCCCTATAAATAGTATCCGCTTTCTCCCGGGAGTAGTGAGGATTGCTGCCAGCTAGCAGTCCTGTCTGCCATCTGCCACACACAGTGGTGGTCTAGAACCTTCCTTCAGATGGTAAGTTGCTCTGTCCGATAAATCACTGATGTCTCTGTTGGCATCTCAGGACAAGGAAACCCGCGGGAGCTGAGATGTTAGGACACAAGGATGGGGGAAGAGAAAGCTGTGGGGTTGATTCTGAGGAGGCCATCCAGTAGCTTGTGGGGCCCTGTGGCAGCTGTGTACTATGAGAGACATCTTTTTCTTCTATCGTGTTGATAATATCCTGTTAGCCTCCGTGTTTTTCCCGTTTGAAAGTAGCAGCCCTCTGCTCCTGGTTCATGTGACTGCCCAGGGGTGGGTGGTGAATACAGACAAGGTGCAAGGGCCTGGGTTACTTACAAAATTCAAGGACACTCCTGACCTACCACCCCTAAACAATGACAGACACAGGCTTTAGGGATTTTAATTCAGAGACAGATCTGTGAGTTGAACATGGCCAGTTACCTGGAAAGGTTTGGTTGGAGCCTATAGCAATAGCAAAATAACAAGAGTGCCCTTGGCTTCTGGTCCCAAGTAGAGTGTGATGGAACAACAGCTATAAGCAGTCTATGATGTATTACAACAGATGGGAGACATTACAGAAAAAACTACCTGATTCTTTGAGTGACACAAAAAACCACTATTTATTTGTGTGCAACATACAGGGTTCCCATGGACATCAATAGTGACCAAGGAAGCTACTTAATTGCTGTAAAGTTCAGGAATGAAAGTGAAAGTGAAGTCGCTCAGTCATGTCCGACTCTTTGCGACCCCGTGGACTGTAGCCCACCAGGCTCCTCTGTCCATGGGATTCTCCAAGCAAGAATACTGGAGTGGGCTGCCATTTCCTTCTCCAGGGGATCTTCCCGACTCAGGGATAGAACCCGGGTCCCCTGCATTGCAGGCAGACGCTTTAACCTCTAAGCCACCAGGGAAGCCCAGGACAATAACTCAGTTTTGCCTTTGCTGCAGAATCTACCCCCAGAGTAACAGATTATAAATAGCCCTTGGGACTGGCAGGTAAGTCCCCAGTGATTTGGGTTTACAACCCTGTTGGAATAGGATCAGAAAGGGACTTACGCATTTCACCTGTCCTCTAACAGGTGGGACCTGTCCTGGTCCCACCTAACAAGCTAATTCCAGGCCCCTCCTAGAGGAAGGCACTATTATGCTAACTCTGTGGTCTGGTCTGTTACACTGCCTCTTCACTATTTGACACTGGTTATGGGCACTAAATGTAGGCAGGTGGTACAGTATTGCAGGCCAGGACAAAACCCTTAGGCAGGGGTGCCATTATTTCAGAATGATGTTACTGTTTGTATTTGCTTAGTAGTTAGTAGTCGTGATCTTCCTGTATTGGGCCTGTTAAACATCTTGCAACTCATCCTACTCTGAGTGAAGGG